CGGCGGTAGCCGAGGAGGTCCTGAGGGAGTTCCAGGTGCTGCTGCAGCACAGCCCCCCTCCCATCGGCAGCACCCGCATGCTCCAGCTCGTGGCAATCAACATGTTTGCAGTGTACAACTCCCAGCCCAAAGGTACCACCTGCTGCTTTCGGGGAACCGGGCTGGGGATCAGCTGCTCTTTTTATGTTGCTCATGTGGAGGAGGGCAGGGGGCTCTCACTGGCTGAAGACAGATGGGAAAGTAGAGCTTTGGTTGGATACCTGGGGCTGTCGGTATGCGAGGGGACGGCAAAGGGACCTTGGCTGGACCTGGTGGAGCTGGCTGAGGTGTGTGAGGAGGCACCGAGTCTCCCTGGAGGCCGAGTCACCACGCACAGAGGGAGGGCACTGCTCTATGGCTCTGCCTTCCCAGAGTCTATCCTGGGCCCTGCTCAGCGTCTGTGCTGGCACCAGGAGGGCTGGGAGGATCTTGGAGGCCTTGGGTGTTGGGGGAGTGGTGCTGCCTGTGGCCGCTCGTGTCTCTGCGGGTGGCTGGGTCTCTGAAGGGCCAGGCTGGAGGCACCTAGAGAACAAAGCAGATCTGGTGATACTTATCCTCCTCCCCTTGCCTCCTCCATCCTCGCAGGAGGCTCTGTGTGGTCTCTGCCGTTGTGGAGTTTAATGTATTGGTCAGCAGAGATGACACCAAACCAGAGCCTCTTCCGCTGAGTTTGAAATGGTCCTTCCAGGGAATGTCTTTCCCTGCGGCCTCCCCAACACACACACAACAGCAAGTGCCTGGGTCTGCTGTGTTTGGGAGCAGGGATGGGCCGATGCTCCCGGAGTGGGAGGAAGCAGCATTTTGCCTGCCAGTGACTTGGGATTTTGATCCTAAAGATGGAAGCCTCCAGCTGATAGACTTTGGTGAAAGCCGCTGAGCGGGTGATCCGACTGAGCCCCAGTGAGCTGCTGCTGGAAGATTTCTCCCTGGTGCGCCAGTTGGCCACCTGTCAGACTGGTGGTTAGTGGCCAGGGTCAGCTGATGGAGGGCTGGGAAGTGGCTCCTGTGCTCCGTTCCTGCTGCCCGGCCAGCCTCGCAGGCACCCTCATGTCCCGGGGGAAGCCCTGGGGGAGCTGCCAGTCCCGCTGCCGAGGCAGCCTTGCCTGCTAGATGCCAGCCAACTACGGTGTGTTTATCTTTGAGCTGCAAAGTACTTTATGATTATGAGCAAATACCTCTGCGCAGCCCCCAGTAGGTGTATTAATAGCGGTGTCTGTGCGGCAGAAGGGAGGTGGTGGTAAAGGAGGAAAGGGGTTTGTGTGGGCTGTACGGCAAGCCCCTGTGGCAGAGCTGGAAGCGATCCCAGATCTCCGACCACTGGTCTGTGCTCTTCCATGTGTAGCTGAGTTGTGGATGTGTGTGAGTGACAGAAAGGGAGCGTGCTTTATCTCATGTGAAAAATAAGTGTTGCCGGAGTTTTCTGCCCTCCTGCATGGGCAGCTGCCAGCTGCTCCCAGCTTTGGAGAAAGCAAACCCGTGCCCGCTGGGGACGACGGCTGTGCGCAGAGCAGGTGGCAGTGCTGGTGAGTGCCCGTGGGTCGGATGGCTCTGCGGCTGCCATCTGAGGCCTGGTGCCCTTCAGGGATATCCCCGAGAGCTCCTTGCTCTGGTGACCCTAAAATATCGCTGAAAATGCTGTTGGCAAAGCAAACCCTCTTGTCAGCGCGGACGCCCTGGTGGTCTCCGAGCACTTGTGTGCTGGCACAGCCCGCGCTGGGCTCACTGCTGACGCTGTGATGTTGAGAAGACCTGGGTGCAAAAGCAGGGGAAAAAGATAAAAAAGGCAGCCTAAGGGCCTGGAGTTGAAAAGGCAAACAAGAACGTTTGGTGATTTGTTACGGAGTGCCCAGCACCGAGCAAGGGTGTTGGCTCCTTCCCCGGCGGGCGG